CAGCAGCAGCAGAGTGATGCAAATAACGGAGACAGTCTCCAGCTGCAATCAGAGGACCCGCTGCACCCGCAGCAGCAGCAGCAGCAGCAGCAGCAACATCATCATCACCATCACCATCATCATCATCATCACCAGCAGCAGCAGCAGCAGCAGCAGCAGCAGCGGCGGCAGCAGCAGCTGCAGCAGCGTGTAAGGCTGCTGAGAGCTGATCGCCCCCCCAAGCAACTGTCTCCTTTGGGGTCTCTCTTTATAAATTCTTCTCTGCGTCTCTTCTTGCTGGCAGCAGGGGCTTGTCTTTCTCACGAAGATGCAGCAGCAGCAGCAGCAGCAGCAGCAGCAGCAGCAGCGGCAGCAGCAGCAGCAGCAGGGCAGCAATGCGAGCAGCAGCAGATGCTGCTCAACCAAGAACAACGGGAAACGGAAACGAGTGAAAACCCGCAGCAGCAGCAGCAGCAGCAGCAGCAACAGCAGCAACAGCAGCAGCAGCAGCAGATGGAGGATGAGGAGCTGAGGTCAGCAGCAGAACTGATGTCTTGTGCTGCTGCAGTGCATGCAGCAGCAATGAGGTGTCTCCTCGAGGCTCTGCTGCAGCTGACTATACACTCCAACTTTGTATTGAATATCTGTCTCCCTCCCCCCGTGCGGCTGCTGCTGTCTCCGCTGCTGCAGCAGCAAGACCTGCTGCTGCCTGGGGGTGATCTGCTGCCGCTTAGCGCCATCATCGGTACAGATGAACCTGCAGCAGCAGCAGCAGCAGCAGATGCTGCTGCTGCTGCTGCTGCTCCTTCTCCTGCCCCAGCACAACCAGCAGCAGCAGCAGAAACAGCAGCTGCAGCAACAACAGCAACAGCAGCAGCAGCAGCAGCAGCAGAGAAAGGCTTTCTGACCGTCGAGCTGCAGCTGCCAACTCCCGCCTTCATCCTCGAGACACACAGACGCAGCGACAGCAGCAGCAGCAGCAGCAGCAGCAGCAGCAGCAGCAGCAGCAACAGCAGCAGCAGGAGCATCACTGTGCGGCTGCCTCTGCTGACATCTCGTGTCTCCTTCCCCTGCAGCGCCGAAGAATTGTGTGATGCTTTGGCCTCAGTGGGTAGAAGCTGCTGCTGCTGCTGCTGCCGCTGCTGCTGTTGCTGTTGCTGCTGCTGTTGCTGCTGCTGTTGCTGCTGTTGCTGCTGTTGCTGCTGCTGTTGCTGTTGCTGCTGCTGCTGCTTGCATTTGTTAGGCTGCTGAGCTTCGACGCAGAAAATGCATCTCTTGCCACCGCTTCTCAGCAGTAGTTT